TGATGAAGATGTTAAACAAGACTCTATGTCACAAGAGAAATCAATTAAGAGATGTAATTAAATGAATTAGTGTACTGTTTCAGTCTCAGATGTTTCTCTGATGTAGCTGGGAATGGTGGAGATCAATTAAAAGCACAAGGGTAGGCTAACAATCACATTTCAAACTTAGGTATAGTCATTAATAACAATCCATATTAAAAAAATATGTATCTATATTTCTGCAAGTTTTTAGCTTGCTGCTTTTCACTGAGACTGTATGGGAAAAATGTTACCATTTTCACTAGCAGGCTAGCTCTCCTCTCTGATCTTCAGTTCTGCAGTTTGAGTTTATAGCTTTACAAGGGTGAGTTGCAGTGCAAAAAAAAAAACAAAAATCCACAGAGAAACAAGCAACAAAAAATGAACCAGCTCCATAAGCTCTTTTCACTCTTATACTGTTTGTGTTTTCTTTAAAAGTCATATAAAACATTTCTATACATGTTCTTTTAGCAACCTGTTGGGCTTTGTGGTACCCTATGCATCTGGAGCTGATGGATCCACACCCCCTTCTGTGTTGCTCACATTGATTATTATATCCATTAAGATAAAGTCTACTATTCCCTGAGCAAGTTTAAAACAGAGTCGCAGAAATTCCTATAAATACTTTGGCATCAAGGAGACCCTATTCAATGTTGGAATAAGAACACAGAAAATCCCAGTAGCAGTATGACCCTTAAGTGGTGGGATGTCAGCCCAGAAAGACCACAGCCCAGGAAGAATCCCTGCAGGAGCATGCTCCCAGACTGTGTGGGTACAGCAAAAGACCAATTCCAAGCAGAGTGCTGCCCCTCAGCTAAGGAAAAGGAATCTCACTGAGGAGAAGACAAGAGGGAAGAAAATCCTACAAGGACAACCTCCCAGGGTAAGGCCAGGGAGGTCTTATTCCCCAGGAAATGGACAGAGGAACCCAGAAGGATATTTGAGGGAGAGAAACATTTACAGTATAAATGTATTTTCATTATAATGTTTAGGTGTGTAAGAGGATTTCTGGGGGTAGTAACTCCCCACTTGCATACCTTAGTGGGGTCATAGTAGTGCAAAAAAGCAGGATCAGCTCTCAAAACAAATCTCCTCACCTTCCAGTTTTTCCTCTTGTGCCCCTGCAAAACAGAAGAATTAAAAGTTACCACCAGTAAATACCTTCTGCAATGGCCATTTTCCTGCAGGGTAGAGGGGGAACCTAAATAGGTACCAAAAAAAGAGGTGTTGGAGCCAATGGAAGTGGCTGTGTTGTGTTTTGAAACAGTGATTGAGTCTCATCTTGTTCGTAGCAAGGGTCAGAAATTAAACCTTGCAGACTAAAGGTGAGATCCTGTAAACAATTACTGCCAACACGTAGTTGTGCTCAAAGAAAACAGGTCTCACCACCGCCAGAGCATGCACGTGTACATGAGTGACTGCCCACAGGTAAACGCCCGCTTCATGCAGAAGTCAATCGACTCAGCTTTGGAATTAGTCTGTGGCCAGCAGAACGTCATAGCTGCTCACATGACCCGGATGGGAAAGGTTACGCCAGAAGAACAGTGGATCTGCTCGGAAGTGAATGTAACAGCTGTGGTGGTATTTGGAGTTTTGTGTGGGGCTTTTGCTTTTGATACTATTTTCTGTTTCAGTATACACTCAATATACACAAAATATCCAATTAATCCTGCCTAAGCTGCAAGTTCCATAGCTCACTTCTTTGTAACTAGATACTCTTCACCACATGATATCTGATAGTAGTACAGGTGGGCAAGTTAGGTCTGCTGGCCACAACACTCCACCCATGCGTGTATAAATCACATTTTTTCTCTAGGAAGCCCTAAGAGCTGCCATTTTTCTTGTTCCCCAGCGAAGGTTCAAAGGCTGTATTTACCTGTTTCACTAGGAATCCTTGCTTCACGATTGTGCCGCTTAATTCAGAGATGTTAAACTGTAGCTCTTCCTTGGAACTGGTATTTTTCTTACTGCTCTCAGCCTGCAAATAGGGAAAAGGGTTCCACTTCTTAATCTAAACACACTTTTAAGTACAAAGTTCTGCATTTTATTTTCCTTGAGCTGTTTTTAGCTATTATTTCCTGAGTAAATTCTACTCCATAGCCCTGCTGCTCAGCTTTGGAGGACCGAGACTTAAAAGCAACAAATTCCATCTGTAAAGCCTACACGTGTCCTGCGACCTTAACTATACAGCATAGCCTCCATGAAATGCAGACACAACACCTCACTTGAGGGACACACCCCTTTTAATGCCTAATTATGTAATTTGTAGATCCCTCCATATCCATGTAGTTATTTGTCTCCAGCAAAAGTGCAAGGGTTAGCACTTTTACAAGCCTAGTCTGTGTTTACTTTTGTAGCTTGCATTTTTTGTCTGGGGTTGCCTGCTGTGCATGTTCCCTTTACCGCTGCCCCAAATCAAGCGAGGGGCAGAGGAGGTGCCTCTGTTGGCAGCTGCATCACTTACAAACATGTACAATGCGGTGGAATCATCAAGGAACTGCTCGGAGAGGTCGCTGTAGCGCATGGCCTCGGTGCTGCGGGCTCCCACAGGCTTGATGAAGTTCTCCTCCATCAGCATGGATGCCAAGGTGACGGCCTCAAATCGTGACACAGCAAAGCTACTGGAGATGAGCCAGTCCACCAGGGCAGAACCTGCAGGGAGAAGGGTAGCTCTCATACTAAGACAACGTGCTATTCCAAGGCAAAACATGGTCTCCTGCCACACAGGTCTTCATTTGCTGAAGCATTTTGGCACCATCAGAAAGACTGTCAACAAAGTGCAAGATTGACAGAAAGCGTGAGGTCCTGTGTCTGCTTCCATATATCGAAAGAGCAGGAGAGAGAGGTGTCAGGGAGCTTGGCTGCACCACTACTTTCCACTAGGCCACAACTGATCCCACCATGAAGGCAGTACAGTAGCTCCCTCGTCCCTGCAACATGGCGTGTCAGATGTGAGGAAGCTCTTTGCCTGCAGCAGGTTTACCTGTGAAGGTCTCTTTGTATCTGTTGCCTTGCTCCAAATTGCGTGTCAACTTAATTCCAGTACTGCTGTCACACATTCTTGCCACTATGTGACTGTAAAAGAGAACACAGGACAACATCAGTGGAATAGAAAGACAGGCAGAAATTGCTACACACTTCTGTCAGTGCCTGGGATGTCCGAATGATTACCAACATAAAGGTGGGAAGCAGCCTCGATACTCCCTTAGCGGTTTTGTCGTTAAGTATGATACAGGAAAACGTCATTCTCCAAACAGCAGCACTAAACAAGTTGCCTCACATAGTACCTTTAGATTTAAAGCACTTCAAACTGAGCTGTAATCAGCCTCTATTTACCTTCTCAATGCAAATCAATTTAATGTCAATTTAATAGAAAAGATTTCTTAAGCAGTTCTCAGTTTCCTCTTGTTTAACATGATGCACCCTAAAAATCCTAGTCTGGATTCCAGTTATCAGCTATGAAAGCTCAGCAACATGGCATGAACAATGTCACTGCTCAGTCTTTCCCGACATTACAACTTCCAAGAGAATATATCTCTCCAATGAGAACTTTTGCAGTGGTTGAGGAAGGTCTTCAAGCCATCAGTGAGACGCCCATGCAGAACCCATATACTCCAAAAAATTATGGTTGCAGAAAAAGTGCATTCCCATGCCCTGGCCAAAGCGTGTGCAAACCTGGGGAATGGGAGTTGATCTGTGCAGAGAGGAGCTTCCCTTGACCCACCCCATCCATCAACTCAGGTGCTTTGCAAACTACAGCAATGGTAGAAGGAAAAACCATATACACTTACTGGAGGCTGATATTCTCTAGCAGTTTGAAAGAGTTCTTCTTTCTGTGAAGCTCTTGTACCTGTACTGGGTGACCAGCATGAATAGCTCCAGTGATGTCCAAAGCCCAAGAGTCTCGCTCCTCCCTGGAGCAACATTCAAGGAAATAATCTGTGTTGGTTTTTGTCTTTAGTTTGATGAGAAGCTGTAGAGAAAGAAGATCAAAACATCATTCAGCTATTGTCCTCTGCTTGCGTTTTGCTTCTTTTGGCGCTGGCCCAAGTGACACAAATAAGCCTGATATGGCATCCCACCTGAGCAGTACAGAGCAATTTTTGGCCAGAAGGATGGTGGGTACAACTCTGGGGTTTTTTTTGGCTTCCTCTCTGCCCCAGTCGCGGGATTTTCAGTTCAAAGCATGGTTTGCACGCATGGAACTTGAGGTACTCTAAAGAGAGCAGACCACCCAGACATTGGATTACATAGGAGTGTTCTGCTGACTAAGGAACTAGATCTCTAGTTCCTTAGCAACCACAAACTCTCACAAGGCTGTTTCTGCCCTGAGAAGTACCAAGATAGTCAGCAACTTCCAGAGTCATTTCCCTTCTGGCCCCACTCGGAGGAAGTCTGTATTGCCACTACCCATGGGTTAGCGGAGAAGCACAGGAGGCACTTTCCCTTCCAGAGCCCTCTTGCTGGAAACTTTCCACAGCAGTGAAGTCCCATTGGTGAAGGAAAAGAGAATCTGACCTGGCTGCCTGGGAGCACCCCATGGACACAGCCAGGGTTTAAGGCAACTACCAGAGTTGATAAGTTTCCTTTTTTTCCCCATCCTCAGATTTTATTGAGCTGTTTGTGTCCTCCCTCCACACACTCTTGGGCTGATGCATTTACACTTATTCTCCACTGTGTGCAGGGGGATAGAGGTTTTTTTGTTGTTGTTAATGGCTGTGACTCAGATTTGGGCACAGGGAAGAGCAAAGACACAGTGAGGGAGTTTATTGCTCACCCTGGTTACACACTAATGCCAGCTCGCTTTTGCCTGGGCCTGATTCTGGAAACACATGCCCCAGTGATATGGTTGCAATAATCAAAGTCAGGAGGAGAGCAATGGACCGGGGAGAAGTTAGAAAGTGAACATAATTGAGAAGGAATACATTTTTCCAGTCCTACCGGTCTGTTCTCATATTCCAGGCATGGACAAGTAATAGTGCAGCCATCCAAAAGGATCCTGCCCTTTGGAGAAGGCTCCTTCTTGCCTCCTTCAATTTTGTAATACAGCAGCTTATCCTGAAGTAGAACGAACCATCTCACTTTCCAGTTACGAACAATATGTCCCTAGAGGGGAAGAAGCCACATAGCTAACTTTAACACAAGCATTGAGAAATGACAGCATTTTGGTTTTCTTTTTCTTTTTTGGGGGGTGTAAAAATACCATACACTAATAGGAAACTGTATGAAAAGACACAAAGTCATAATAAATCCCGTGCTCCCTGAAATACACATTTTTAGTAAATGAAATAGTACAGTTCCATCAATATAAAGTCATGGAGCATAGAAAGGTGCTTTGCTCTTTCTCCAGCGAGGACATCTTTGCTGGCAAGTATTGTTTCTTGCAAAAGGTCCCATGAATTACCTCAAAGAGCTATCATATAGGTGCACACCTGCCTGCTGACAGCACCAGGCAGGAACAGGGCTAAAGCCAAAAATGCATGAGGGCTCTTGGAGACAAACTCCTCCTCTCTGGTGACCCTGGGTGGTGTCTGATGTGTTTTGTTCTTTCTCATTTTGATGTGGCTTTAGATGCCAAGTGGCTCTGAGAGCGCTTTGCTGGGTGAATTGGCTTTTCCTCCCATCCCCTCTTCCTGCTAATAAGTGGTTTATTTCTGTCCTACTTGCTTCCAACCTCCAGGGCTCCAACATTCCCTGTGCTACTGTTTCCTGTAAAGAAAATACACTTTTTAATGGCAAAAGATTGAATGAAGGCTGCTGTCAAACATCTCCTGGGCTATACCAGAATACAGGCAAAACCTCTTCTTCCCCTCTGTAGACAGCCCCCGGCTGTCTTTAGCCTGGCTGTATAGGAGAGCAAACTGAGGGAGGGCTGGCACGGACAGGCTCAGTCCTGTCTGACCATGTCAGGTCCAGCTCTGCAGTGCGAGGAGCTGACTTGCATTTCTCCAGGCGATGGAGCATTAGAGCCAGCAGGCGAAGAACTGGTGGAAGCTCTGACACCTGGGAGAGGGTGGGCATAGCTAGAAGAGAGGAACATGTAAGGTCCAGCTGTGGCAGGAATCAAAGTTCATTAATTTTCTATGACTAAAAGGGAAAACCAGCAATTTTCAGGAAAAGGTGGGGTAATGAGTCTCTAAAATCTAGGGCATTTTAGATCTAATGTCTTCTAGTCTATACTAAATACAATTTATCTAACTCAGGTTTGTTCTCTTCTTCCCTTTGCCTTCCTCAGTATTTTTTGCACTGGCCATTTTTCCTGAGATCATGTACTTTGCTGTGGCTCTTTTCTTTCCTTCTTGGAGATCACCTCTTTTTCAGGAGGTTGCCTTACCCTTTTTTCCTTTATCTTTACCCAATTTCCACACATGTACTTTATAATACATTCCAATACATAACTCAGTCAGTTATAATGCATTTAGGTCGCCTCCTTGCTTCTGCTCTCTTAAGAAAGCTCTGTGTTCTTTACCTGATCCCACCCCTTCCTCATTTTTTTCTCTGGATCTCTTGTTCCCTTCTCCCTCAGTTTCCTTTAGTCATCTTCTTTGTGGTCTCCTTCCTATCAAACTCTGCATCTCGGTGATGTAGTACAGACTGCTGGCAGTTACAGCTCAGTGTGCTGCCGATAACAACCTATTCCTCTCACCACTTGGTGCCTTGGCTTCCCACCTTGAATTCAGTAGTCACTTAAGAGCCATAAAATACAGCCATAGCCCAGATGGGAGAGCAGGATCTGGGACTGCAGAAGAGAGGATGAGGAACAGCTTGGGCCATGCAGCCCTTCTCTGCACAGAGCATGGTTTCCCATGGCCAGCAGCTGGCCAGGAGCCCTGCCCGGAGAGCTTCTGACCAGGATTACATTCATGTTAGCACCAGAAGCAGTGCCACGTACTCTAGAAAAGTATTTCCCAGGGCGTGGCCAAACTTTGCACAAATCTTTGAATCACATTTTTGTGTGCAATGAAGGACCATACCAGTCACTGAGACAGGGTCTTGGTCCTAAAAGCAGCTTGTGCCCCTTGCTAAGCTGCCATCTTGTGTCCCAGCTATGACTGACTTGGTCCTACAGGGAGAAGTTGGAAAGGCTGAAATCTGTGACACCATCTTTCAGCTCTTTTCTCCACATTTTGGCTAAAAATTTCTCACAATGCAGCTTAAGGGGCGTGGAATAAAGAAGTTATTTCAACCAGATTTCTACGTTTGTACTGCTCTGATTCCTTTCAAAAAAGACAGTCTGTTCCCCAGCCTCTCACATGAAGTGGGAAACCCTGCTCGGCTGGGTGGCTACAGAAGGCACAAACTACCTTAAGAGACTGTCAAAACATCTTCCCTCTCTCCATCCTCCCATGGCTGCTTCCAGTGCTGACGTGTAGCTGTTTGCCAGGTATTTTTTTATGCAGAGGTGTGCCCTAGGTGCAGACATACTGGCTTTCTGATACCTACCTGAGTAATCCTGATAGCTAATTCACTTTCCTCTGGGTAAATGCCAGTATGGGGATACTCAAGGGAGGGCAGTGAACACTTGCAGTTCATGCAGCTGCCCTGGCAGGCACCTGCCTAGACCTGGAGGAGCTCCTTTCCCAGGAGCAGGCAGGAGCCCCTCAAACCCAGCACCCAACAGGCTTCCTTGCTGCGAGCCCTGGTTCGATCCGGTACCTGCTCAGGGGCTGCTTCCACATTTGAACAGAACCGCGTGAAGGGGAACTGGAGCACTTACCCGTTTGACGAGGAAGCCCTCCTTCAGAACTCCAGCTGCTTCCTGCATCGTGGCCAGCAGGGAAGAGAGCCGAGCCCCGGACGAGAAGCACCCCAACCCTGGCAGCCTGTCCCTCTGCACGCGATTTGTTTAAGCTCATTTTTCTTTGTACCCTCCTCCTCCTCCAATGTGACACACCCTCCCTTCCCGGTTTTTTTCTCTCCCTCTCTTCCTACCTGTGAGACATTAATTAAACAGTGAGCTGGCTCTGATACATTACCTGCCCTCTGGGAAGGAAAAAAAAAAATAGTCTAAAAAGGATCTCAAAAGAATTTCACAGAATTTAGTATAGCAACAAAACCACCACTGAGCTGGTCAATATACACGGCCACATGATGACAAATCAGGTATTGCATGGGAGGGAGAAGCAGAATTATAAAACTGCATCCCTCGAAACTGAAGGCTAATCAACTCTAACACTTAAAAGTTCTCATCTGATAAACATATCTCATAGGAGTTCTACAGATCAGAACACCTTAGTTGTAACATATAGAATACTATGATTACAAGGAGACTTATATAAACTTCAAAATAATTTCTTTTGCTAGAAATTTATTTTACTGAAGAAGCCCCAAAGCACCTAAAAGCCCGCTCTACTTTCAGTGAACTCTGGGCATATAAACCAAGATTCTCTACTTAATATCCTAAATCCCTACGTAAACAACTGTTTGGGCTTTTAGTAAAGCAGTCTGATCAGCGAACACTGTGCAGTGACCTCTTGTAACTCCGAGCACCTCTGAAACAGAGCGCCTTCCTTGTGTCTGAACACAAGCTTAGATGTTTATTGCATTTCTGAAAACTTTGGCCATGATAAATCAGTTCGATAGATTTATCAGATCTTGTCCTGGTGAAATAAACTAGCATCAGTATTTCAGACAGCACTACTGTTCAGAAGTAATAGTCTTTGCTGTACTGTTAGCATTCCTCGACTTGTACCAAAATTGAGGTGATATGTGTGTGCAGAGCTAGGGGCTGTGATAAGAAACACCACTAACGGTATAACAAATAAACAAAAGCACTGGTTGCTATGTAAAAAGAGTCCAGAGTTCAGCGAGGCAAAGTGACTCAAGTATGTGTCAGGCTTCGCACACTGGATTAGATTACTGGTCACACTTTCATGTACCGAGGAAAGGAACAATCATTTTTTTATCTTTATACTATTTTTTTATAACTTTTAGCGAGGAAATGTAAGGCACCGAGTAAGGTATTCAAGCCTGACAATGTACTGGAGGTGACCCAGAGAACACTCCTGCAGACATCATGAGAAATGCAATGGGTGACTGAACGCTGCCTGAAGTTAGAGAAATCGGTTGTTGTACAAAGGGAAAGCAGGCTGGCTGAGATTTCAGAAGCAGCCAGCCCCTTGGGAAGTTACCTGCGCAGCGCCCACCGTACTCCCTTTGCCACTTTGGAAAAGGCAGGCGGCCACAGGCAACCGGCTGCGTAAGTCATATCCCAGTTCTGTTTGTTCTTCTGTCCACCTAAGTGAGTACAGTAAGTTTAACAGAAAATCAAGAAGAGTTTTTTGTTATAGGTATGCAATATTTTCAAAGATATCAGTGGAAATCTTTTTTTAATATTATTGTGGCCTCAAAGCAGAAATGAACTTAGTGTACTGCTTTTAATTTCAAATATAATCTCAGTCTCTGTGTATATACATAAATATATATAAATAAAAGTTGTACTCAGAAGCAGAATCTTGGGGAAAAAACCTGATGGAATCAGCAGAAAATAGAATAAATTTCAGCTCACAATGTTCTGCACATCAGAATTAAACTTGAGAAAAAAGAAGAAAGCTTGAGTTTAGGTACACAAGAGACATGATTACTGCACGTGTTTCCTGGACTTGTACTCTTTATATAACCAGCTCCAGGAATACAGTGTTCCACCGTTCAGTATTTGGGGTTTGACTTCACATTGTTCAGCTTGTTACTGCAGGCAATATATAACAAGGTGGGTGAGATAATTTCATGCTAGTGAGGGCAGGTAGAAGCTTGCAGGGGGCTCTCGTTTAGACAGTGATCTCAGAATTGCACCATAACCAGTCCTCACCGAAGATCTGAGTGAGCTCTTTTTCTCCAGCATGCAGACCACCCGCAACCCTGCAGACAGATCTTGGCAAAATTACCTTTAGCAACAAAGAATTTCATTGTCAGACTGTTGGTGAATGGTGAAGCAAACCTTGCCCTAGCTGGCCATTAAACTATGGGGTTTGTATCAACTACCTTTTATAATCTAGAACCTTCACTTTCTGCAATACTTTGGCTATTTATAACTGCCCTCCCCCCCCGACTCTCATTCTGTAGTTAATCAAGGCCAACAAACTGCCCCTATATTGCTCCCTGAGGCTGAGTAAATACAGATCTCTCAGACAGCTTTGTGGGAAAAGGCTCACGTAGTGTAAAATGAGTCAGTATTCACACACGGGCTGGGAAGGCAAGTGCTGGTGTTGAATGCTCCCAGCAGAAAAGGACATACTTTGAACCATATAAATCCAGGCAGCTCCAGAAGACTCCATCAAGTCTTCAAGTTTCAAGTCTTCTGTGGGACTTGAAACTCACCGAAATGAGGACTGTTTCCTCCGATTCATTTTAGAGTAGTGTTTTCTACATGTCAGCATAGCATCTTAAAAAAAAAAAGCTGTTAGGTGCTTGACATTTTTCCATCCAAAGTGACCCCAAACCACTTTATGTGCTATGGAATTTGCATTGGGAGGGTCAGGAAGAGCCAGCTGCAGGACCACAGGATGATACTCATGGTGAAAGGGAAGGAGCAGCTGTCTGAGTGCAGACTGCTATTTCAGCTGGCTGACCTGACAGACGTTGCTGGTACCTCCAGGTCAGGCCCTCGAGAAGCCACAAACAGCTGGTTAAGAGAACCTGCCCAAAGGACAACCCCCGTAATGTCACATGCTCTGCAATGCCCATCGGTAGCATCCTGTCACACCGGGGATTATATACACCCAGCTTTTCCAAAGCAGCTTCTTCAGATGCTACAACTCTGCCCTCCAGTGTAGGGCACCATTAAATACTTCGTTCCTTTAGTGGATTAGGGATGAAATAAGATGAAAACAAACCACATCAAAATAAAGAATGATGAAACGTTTCTAGATAAAAGTGAAAGATGACAAGTGTTCAAAAGTATTCTGGTGTAAGAGCATTTTTAAAATTAACTGTAGAAAGGCAGCAGTGTTTGAAAACAGTTGTTTAATTGTCTAGACTCTGGAACAAAAAACTACCAGAAATGAAACACCAAAGTGCAGATTCTGCTATGAAGAACACGCCAGCTCCACTGCATCTAAAAAAAGCCTGACGGACAGAACCAGAGAGAAAAAAGAAAGAAATTCTCACTGTATTAAAAACCAAACAAAGCACAACAACCCAAAGAAGGCAGAGCACCCCTTCCTTAGCAGCCACCATTCCCCCTCATCAGAAACACAATATTGGGCTGTGTGGTACTGGACTGAATACCCGACCTCAGCCAGTACCTCTGGTTTTGGTTGGGTTTTTTTTGAGGTGTTTTTTTTTTTTTGTATTAATGAGTCCTTATCAGATGTTGTAAGTAAAACTGTTTCCAAGCTGCCTGTCTTACAAAATTAATTTGGGATATGAAACTCAAGCTGAGATCCTCACAATTAACACATCAGGCCAAGCCCTGTCCACAGGTATACCCACACCTTTCCTTTCAGTTGACTACATGAGTGCAGTTGGAGGTTCTGACCTTGCAACTACAACTGAGTTCACAGGACAGTTGCTAATGAACTGCAGGAACACGCTGTCTCGCTTCAGCGACTCAACAGACATTCACACAAACCCCAAGACCCTTGCTTTAAGCACTTGGTAAGCAAATGCAGTTCCATGCCTACAAAATAGACTGGTTGAGATAGAACGTATCATCTCAACAACTTCTAAAGATCCCTAAGTCACAGCTACAACAACTGGTACAACACAGCCAAGGGCTTGGCAGGTTCAGCGCTCCCTTACACACACCTCGCTAACAGGCCTCAGAAGCTCCCATTTTAGACACCCTCCCAGCCACTGCAACACATGAGAAATATCCACTAAAGTTGTCTCGTATCTTTGATTTAAGCTTCTTGGTTAAAATTTGCTTGGGCAACAGGAGAGCCTGATTTTATCTGCCAAGGTAACAAGTAATTGAAATGCATTTATCTTAAGCTGCTTTGTTACCATGTTCAACTATCTCAGTCATTTTTTTCAGGCACTCAAAACTGAGAAAGAATCGCGTACACCAGCACGCTGAGGCTCTAATTAGAAAAGCTCCTCTGAACAACTTCAGCTACTGAACAACTTCAGCAAACTTTTTCCTAAGTTACTGACAGAAATGACACTCCCCTACTGGCACACCAAACCAGCCCTTAGAGATGATGCTAATGATAACCCCTTGATAGTGCTCCAAGGAAAGAGCCTGGCTCATTTTCCAGTGCTTTCCTCTCCAGCGTTACTTTGGCACACAAAGCACACGGTGACTAAGTTTTTAAATACTTTGTTCTTTGGGCCAAGTACCCACATATTGTATTTAATGGAAGTCAAATCACTGTTTTAGTGAAGGAGCAAAGTTGGAAGAGCTCTTCAAACAGGAAACTGACATCACAACTTCAAGCCATGACAAGGCTGTCATACGCAGCTTCTGAAAAGACAATTTGAGAAAATAACCATTAAAAAAAAAATGTTTCTTCATTTTGTGATTCAGGTATTTTCCAAAATCCTGCAAAGATTGGAAGTTACTTAACTTTTTTTGGCTTTGCATTACTATTAGAGTTGGGTACATGCGAACTTCTCTGATAATCAAGCATGGATTGCAATACATAACGCTCTTTGTGAATGCCTTTTGTGGCAACACCACATAGCAACGATACTGCTTGTACTGTGGCCTTACTAAAAATTCCTACCTAAGGCTCAAAGTCTCATTTTTCATGCATTTTTCTTCTAGTAGCACAAAATACTAAGAAAAAAGGAGATGGGCAATATGGGACATGGCAATAAAAAAAG